TGATGATGATGATGATCTTCTTCTTCCCTCGCCGCAGAAAAAATCCACGAAGCGATATAGCAGTAGCTTTGCTACCGGCATCTTCGAAGACGCGCTCTGATGGCGTCCAGCCTTTTCGGCTTGCTCAACCGGGAGCCGTAAAATACACTCTGCATGTTGGAACTCAATGCCTCGCCCCGGAGGGCCCATAAGCAGGCGAAGAAGAGGGCACAATAGAGAAAGTTACTGTACTGCATTGAAACAACATCATACTGCAGAGGCATCGCTCAAAAGAAAAGATCAGCCAGTTTTGCCAAGACAGAAGATATACGAGTTAGAATATACAATATCGATTTCGTCCGGTGACACATGCTGAGTAGACTTGTTATCGTCTGTAACATACTGAAGCCTGTCTTGGCCGAGCGCTAATGGCAGCTCGTGGTTGCAGCGCCAAGGGGGAACACAATGTTGTGAACAGCATAGGAGGCTCTTTGTGTGCTTTGAGTGGCATCATTGAAGTACGGGAAATTGATGCTAAAAAGCGATAGCTTACGACCCCTATCGTCAAAGCGTGCAACCTGACGCAGCAAAATTGCTGGTGGTCCATCAGAGGCTGCAAAAGGCTGGACCTGATTCCGGCGTGCTTGCTGGGCCCAGCTGTTGACAAGTCGAGGTCGTCGTCTTGAAGTGGTCCTCGAACTGGCTGAGTTCCGGACGGCCCCTCTCGAGTTCCATGTCCTCGCTCGGCCATAGCTTCGAAGAGAGGATTGACCTGGATCGAGGTTGGGACTGAATTTACGGACTCGATGGCCACGTGCCCACAGCACTGGGCAGGCTTCTGATGCGACTGAGAGCTCTGCTTGTAGGTTTCACCACACCAGCGACAAAGCTGGCGTACTCCTTGATTGTGAGCCCAGCATCTAATGAGAGGCTTTGCAATTTTCTAGGAAGGATACTGCTGCTGTGCATGTCTGGCAACATAACGATTGTTAGCTTCATGTGGCAAGCTAAAGGTTGCTGGTAGACTCAGTGGCGTGAAATGTTGGGCAGGCTTTCTGATGAAAGTGTCCCACGAAGGCTCGCCACGACGAGAAAAGCTTATTGCAGTGCTTGCATTCGGGTTGGCCACCTTTGGCATGCACCATGTACTCATCTGAGCGGAACGACGTCGCAGCATAGCGTTGATGGGCTTGGGCAGTACTGGCTTCTGGGTGTGACTTACAATGTGTGTGCGGACTGCATGCAAGCTGGAGTATGTAACACCACAGTATGGGCAGGTGGTAGGGTTGCGTAGCATATGCGTCACTTCGGTAAGCTGGCTGTTCTGAAGCATGGGCATGGTACCGTGCTGCTGGTGGTTCTGCGTGAGATTTTGTAAATGTCGAGTCAGCTCAGGCGTATGTAGCTGGCTCAGGTGGATGTAGGATTGTGCTACGCGCTGTTGCGTGAGTCTGGCTAAATGCTCGATGATGTCAGGAAGGCCCAGCCTACTTAGGAAGGCTTGGTTGGACTCATGCGTAATGTGTGCCGGACTACGCGCAACTCTGCGAAGCTGCTTGACATATTGCGCGCGGAGGGTGCCCGCTGCTTGCGCATCAAGCATGACCGATGGCAGGCTGCGCAGCAGAACGGCTCCTACACAGGAAGTCCACAGTCTGATTCGTATGTGCAGAGGCAGCTTCATCGATGTCAAAATGCGCTGAAGACGCCATCTTAGTTGCGCTCTGTAGGCAGCAGCCGCACGTGCAAACCTGCCATAGCCTATGATGGCCCCCAAATACTTATGATCCCCGCGTATAGGAAGTAGGGTTTTGCTTGTTGCAGTATTCACCTCATTGCTACGGTCAGACTTAGTGTTGTGGATGCGTCCTTATAGAGCTTGCTTGACAGAGCTGCCTCCAAGCAACATAATGACAACTGTTTTGTCTACTGAAATCTGCATTCCCATTTCAGTGATGACAGGATTCTACCAATCTGATTGCAGGCATTACGAAACTGAAGCACCGACTCAACCTCTCAGGCTATGTGATAGTCATCTGCGAAGGTTGTTAATTGCTGCTGGTTCAAAGAGAGTTCCAACTTCTCCATCACCGTCAGCGTGAATGCAGTCCAGAGTAGCGGTGCCGGTGCTAAACCACATCCTTGACGCACTCCGGCACCTGTTCTGATTTCGGCTGTGTACTCTGCCTGATGAAACACTAGCAACATCTCATAGTGAATGTATAGTATGAGCGGCGTCAAATCCTCCGGAATGGCACGTCTTCGGAGCGCAGCCGGTCTCCAAGTCCGGAGCTGGCGACATCGTACAAGCCCATTGTCCCACAACATATGTCGCCAGAGATGTGAGGGTTGGGGGTACCTTAGGTCGAAGGCCCCCTGAAGCCCTGAAGCAATTAGCCACACCCTCTAGCGCCATTTTTGTGCGAACCATTCCGACCATGCTCATGACGAAGCCGCTTCCCAAGGAACGTCTCCAGCCTCGTTAATGCCACACCTGTACAGACCCCCTCAACTGCAAGCCTTCGGACATCAGCCATACGCCTTGTACGAAATGCTTGTGATGTTTCATAATTAGAAGAAATGTGGTAGTGAGCCGCATCTTCTCTTTTCGTGGACAATCAATTTGCTTCGCAGCTTTTGCTTCGCAGGGTTCAGGCCGGTGCTGAAGCGCCGAAAGGCGCGCACAACATGTTGGGTTCTGCGAAGTGGCAGAAAAATCTGTGACCGAGTTCGTCATCGTTCTGCTCCTTGTATCGCGCATCAGCGACACGTAAGCGTTGTCAAGCCAGTGGAGCCCTGGGCATGAGACGGCTGTGCAATCTCACTTTCCTAGTGATTGCACCACGAGCAGCGTCGACAGGCCGACTTTACCTACCACAAGCTCAGTAGGCTTGTCCCAAATAGTAAAGCGATCCTCTATAAGAGAGCACTGGTAAGAATGCAGAGAACAGGACAAGCCCAAAAACGTGGACGTGTCGAGTCCCTCCTGCAATGGCTCGAAGTCCATGCGCCGACGTCTTGTGTAGTCTGTCTCCAGGAGACGCATTGCACTGTTACCGCGGAGTTTCAACGGGGATCCTGGCAATGCATTTCATAGTGATGGCACCTGTCAAAGGGGGTTCCCACACTGATCATGATCTCTAGTAAGACTCTAGTAAAAGCGCGTCCCCACTTCAGTATGCCGAGATCAAGGCTGGACGCCTCCTGCACACCCACGTATGCACAGTACCCGACAAAGCAATCCTATCAAGGGCAGGACCGGGATCCTCAAGAGCTCCTGCTTGCTGACAGGCACCAGCCGTGCATAGCTAGCGGGGCTGCTTCCATTCCACGGAGATGCCGCCGAGTCATAGCTGGTGATTGTAATACTCCCCTAAGAACCCAACACCCGCACATAGGAGCAGGCGTCTCATTGCGTAAAACTGTGGTGCCCAAAGATCAGCACACCTTTCCGGGCTTGCTAACTAGTTTCGGATTAGTGGCGGCAAACACATGGGGACGACATGGTCCCAGCTCGGCCACCCTTGTCAATCACCGCAACCAGCCGGCGCAGATTGACTTCGTTTTGCTCAGGCAGCACTGCAATGTACCGGGCCTTGTTGCAGACACGAAAGGCGGAATTCAGCTATCGCTGGATCTGAACAAAGCCTTTGACCGGCTTCCCCGAAGCAGACTCGAGGCTGAAGACTTCAAGTCTCAGTACTGCTCGAGTTGCTTGGCGAAGTTGTTCAGCGACCCGTGCTGCTTGATGCCGGTTCCTGGGTCGCCTCCGACAGGATCTTCGCAACCGTCTGCTCGGAGGAAAACGGAAGCGCCACATGCGCTGGTAGCGGCCACGGGCCAGTGTCCGGCGAAAAATCCTCGCAGACTTCCATGTTGACTCCTGGCACCCCAGCTGTGGTTGGTGTCGCCGTTTCGGTTTCGGAGGTGGCGGAGCTCCGTGTAGAATGCGGTGCGGGAGCTGTTGCTGCGCGCAGTAGTCCATGTACCATCTTTGCAGTGGCGCAATGCTGTCCTCAGGAATGAGAGGCATGAAGTACTGCAGGGACTGGTGGTACCAACGGCCGTAGTCGTAGTCGCAGTCGCAGTCGTAGTGGTAGTGGTAGTGGCAGTGGTAGTAGTGGTAGTAGCAGAGTAGTGGTCAGAGTAGTGGTCGTAGTAGTAGTAGTAGTAGTAGTAGTAGTAGTAGCAGTAGCAGTAGCAGTCGTCGTCCTCCTCCTCCTCCTCCTCGTCAACAGAAAGTCAACTACACCTTGAACGAAACATAACCAAACTTGTTGCTGCTACACTGTTGGACCCTCATCATCGAAGATGCCCCTGTAAGGTTTAAGAGGTATTGGATTCACCGGATCGGAGGTCCCATCACGTGATTACCGCCAGATGCAGCGATGCTCTGCTTGCGTGTGATTCACACATTCGGGCGAATCACTCATTGAGGTCGCGACCGAATCTGCTTGCTGTGCATCTTTTCGAGTGGTCACCTACCCAGCGATTTGCTGACAACGCAAGCTTAAACACGTGTGTTGGTTCTCTCCTGTCAAGGTCATGGCAAGATGTTGGCTTCGAACTTATGGAAGTACTCAGAATTTAATCTGTGCAAAGAAAAACCATTCTTGGGTGATTTGGCGCCTCCCATCCGTCTCAGCATCAAGGGGACGAGTGCGAGAATTACCTTGGACCAGCAGGCTTCAATGCCGTCCAGGTCGCAGCTGCCATAGCTATGAGCAGCTTGTTGTCAAGCAGGCTTTTGGAGGCTGCATCTGTCATGACAGAAGATCCTTGGGAGGTCTCCCCACCCAGCGAGCACATTCTGGGCGACTCATGGTGCCTTGCAAAGCTGTCCGCGTGCCGCGCACTGCCTGGAAGCCTGGCCTTGGCAGGGCAACTCGATATCAACCGGTGTCCTACAAGCGACATGGTTGCACTCAGCCTTGATTCTCAACGACTTCGGTGAAGCTCTTCAGATTGCCATTGTCACTGTACAGCATTGACACATCTTACCCGCTGCATACCATGATTCCACGATGGTCAGAGTTTATTTTCGATGGCTTCTGATGGCTTGAAGGTGAACAACACAACAGTTGAAATACATGGCGAGAGCAATGTGATGAGCACGATCTGCAGAAAGAACGAGTTGAGGCTGGACTCTCGGAGTGGCAGCTCGGACGACTTCGCCAACATGGTTCGCAGGCCCTGGAAGCATTATGTAAGCATGTGGGAAGAGTTCCATCTTCAGTTCAGCCACGACCTGATGAAATGGTAGCTGGTAGCATAAGATCTTGATTGTTTGGTTGATGGGACTTCACACCGAATGCCTGATGAAGAATACCCGCTCCTGAGGGGTCGCTCGCAACACTCTGTCGTCTCTCTTGAATCTCCTTGATGGTTTTGGGTGCGCACCTGCAAGTGCGCTTAAAGCATGCGACACGAGAGCCTGAGAGCGGAGGACTTTCTGATCCGAGAGTGTGCAAAACGCTCGTCAGGTGTAGAGCCGCCAATGTCAACGTCATGGCCATTTGGATGCAAGGAAGCGCGGTGCGTGCCATCGGTACTCTTCTGGATGGTATTCGGCTGTGCTTTGAGAATGCTGAGGTTGACGTTGTACTGAATCACATGGCTGGACCTTTCGTCTTCTCGCCTGAAAAGGACAGGGGCAAGGCCCAGCCGGGCAAGGCACGAAGCCGAGCTTGGGCCAAGCCGCGCTTTGCTCAGGCGTGTGGCCAAAGTGAGGACACCGAAAAATCCTCTACAGCAAAGTGCGGGAAGCCAAATGCAATCAATAAGCCGCACAAAATCGGCCTTAGCCTGCCATGTGCTGTAGGTTTGGGATGGGCGGGCACCGAGCCATTGCCTTAGACACGCAGACGCAGTCTGCTTCCCAAATTCTTTCTACAAATCTTACAATTCTTGCTGCCCACGGGCACTTGTGTCGGCCTGCTACCGTATTCTGTTCGTTGGTTTCTGGCTCGACGGTGTCAACTGTACACCCAATCTCAGGTATGGAAACCGGGAATACCTGAACGGTCTGTAGCCGAGCTGAATATCTTTAGAATCGATGGTATACAGTTTCCTGCCAGCAGGTTCAGATAACATGCCCTGCTGTGGAAATGCGATCTCCTCACATTCGCATGTGGTGAGAGATTTCCTGCGAATCCTTGAGGCCGCAAAGGGCTTGATTGGTACGACAGGTCGATGCCTCGCACCGAGATCTCAGAGTTGTACCAGATCAGAAACTAGGCATTTTGACATGTTTCCTTTGAGCCAGGTTTCATCATTATCCAGGCAATGAACACTCCAACTGCGGACTGCCACCCTGGACAAACAACAAGCGCAGCAGTCTCAGCAGCTAGTGTAGTTTTTGCCGACTGCTTGGTGGTGGCTGTCATTCTTTTCCGCGAATGCAGAGCTCTCCAGGCGACTAAGTCCGGCCTACTTAATCTCCGATTGATATGATAAACCATTGCCACGATGTGGCCGGAGTTGCCCGGTGAACAGGAGACAAATCGTAGACTTCGTTCGCTATGAACAAGTCGCTTGGAGTCTTAAGTCGGTCTCGATCGTAATGCTCCAGGTCTCAGGCTCGGATATGCTCGAAGACCAGGTTTGTGCGACATGTACGGCCTTCCCGACCTGAACACAGAAGAAATTCATGCCTTGCGTCTCAGAGTGGTTCTGTTGATTGCTTGACAGCGAGGGCACCATGTTCCCGGGCCCAGTGAGGTTCAGGAACAACTGAGAGCATATCTGTTAGAGCTCTTGGAGACCGGGGTGACTATGCTTCGCAAGAGCCTTATGGGAGTGAGGTCGTGAACAGAAGTCACCGAGGAGACAATGTTACTGCAAGGTGTGGATGCTGCAATGAACATATACCCAGAGTCGCTTGCAGAGGCTCGTGCAAGTCTGTGCTGGTGCGCCACGAACTTTGAAGCCTGCTAACTAATAGCAGGTTGCTTTGGCTTTTCCGTGGGAGTACATAGTCCAGGACAAAGCCGTGCACGCTGCCAAGAGCTGCTCCTTACTTGCTGCGGCTTATCCTGCTCTGGACAGGAATACTATCCCGATATGTTCCAAGACCGAGACAACAGAGACAAGGCAAAGAGAAGTTTATTTTTCGCAAAAGCAGGCTTCTATACAATGGCTGTTGTTGGTGGTCTGCATGATCTTGCATGACAGGATGTGAGCGCATATGAATATGAGGTCGTCGTGAGGTTTATGGATGGCAATGGACGGCATGATGTGAGGCTGCTGTGTCAACATGTTTTACCGCATGGGCAGGGCTTGGGGGAGTCTATGTGCACAGGTGGTGCAGTCACGATTCGTGCTCGGAGTTGATAATCCTTTGCTGTCACTGGCGTGTTCCGCGCTGTGGTTTAAATTTCGTTTTCGGAATTGACAAACCTCCCGCTGGATGTGGCGTGGCCACGTCCTGCAGAAAGTGCGGTTCATTGCAAGCTCCAACATGTTGGCCTCATGCTGCTGGTCTCTATCTGACAACGCTGTCGATGCACCCTGAGTGTCCACTTCCGCCAGAGTGCATGGTTCGATACAAGTTCCAATGCATTGGCCTCGACTTGATAATGCTGTCGTTGATACCGTCATGTCCGGCGTCTGCCCGTGTGGTGCAGCTTTCGTTTAGCTTCGACATGTATCGACTATACATGGGGGAAGCATTTTGACCGTGGTTGTTGTAAAGCTTCTGGAAGATGCACATGCATGGCTGATTGGGTAGGGACATGTGTGCTTGTAACCATGCATGCCATTGCAGCTGCATCGCTCAGCTGACATTGGCCTGAATTTCGAAGAAAGGGGGAAAGGGTGCCATGCCCGTCTCGTTGGTGGTTCAGGCGTCGCTGATTTCTGCAGCTTGTGAGCTCTTGTCATTACTGGGCATCGCGGACGATTCTGATTACGCTCAGTATATATTTTGCGGATCCGTCTTCTTCGCTGGACGTCTCATCAGATGCGGGCTTGATCCGGCAGAGTACGAATGCTTGGAGCTTGGCAAGGGTGCAGTCGAGAGTCAAGGAGCAACTTCATATTGTCACTGTGGTCCTTTGCCAGAGACCCCGTGATGACGTGGCCCAGCAGCCTTTGATCATAGTCATAGCAGGTCTTGTGGGGTCCTTGCTTGCGGGTCCCTGCGTCTTTTGTGGACCGCGTTGGTACGGCCAGCTAGGGCTGTGAGAAGAACTTACATCGCTCAGAAATCCTGCCCACCGGTTGGGGGGGACCTAGCAGGTGAGACATCAGTGGACCGAAGTCTGACGTCGCTGGATTCAGTTCATAGCTTGAAAGCAAAGGATGTGGCAATTCTTTCTGGAATGAGTGATGGCAGACTTGAGCTCTGACCCCATGATCCGTGCACAACCATCGCGAGCGCGGCTCACCCTGAGGGGCCAAAGCGCGATCAGACTGTGTCACAACCTGGGACGGAGTTGGACACGAGTGAGCGTGAACGGCGCCATAATGCCCGTTTTGAGGAGTGGGCCCCAAATGGATGATACCCCAGCAATTGGATACGGCATCCACCTGGTGTCATGAGCCGTTGACACGAATCTGGGACAGCACACTTGCGCAAGTGCCTGACATCGAAGGTAGATGCTGTTTTACCCATGCACTGCATCGGCATAGCCGACAAGACTGGCCATCACAAACTGCGATGGTGGTAGCAGCCCCTGCGGCGCCTGCTTCATGCCAAAGGTGTACTGCACACATGCCTGAATAGTGGCGCGATCTTTACGGGAGAGTGGCAAGTCAACGAATATCGATCCACTAACTCTGGGTCTAAGGAAGGGATCCAGGCACAGGTCTAGCCTCCCAGTGACAGGTGATGAATGCCAGATCATTGGTCCAGCAGGAACCTATAAGTTCGGAACAGTCCTGCTGGCGGTGGGTCTGGACCCATCCCTGCAACAGAATTCTCGCGGCAGGAGCTCAAGAAGCAGAAAGCCCTGGTGTGACGGGGGATCTCCTGGCCTCAACATCCGATGAAATGCCTGTGCTAGCCCTGCACCCTCGGGGGGGGGGGGGGCGCCTGGGAAACAAACATGCCAGGCATAGGCCAGAAGATACACACACGAGTGCAAGTAGGTTATGCGGATTTCGGAGTACCAAGTGAGCCAGTGCAGGTGGGAGAAGAGGCACGCAAGTGCCGGGCCACTCACCAGCCCACGGCCTCCTGGATCTCCTGGATGAGCGGCGACCGCGATGGGCCGGCCAGCTTCAGCTATCTTCAGCTTCAGGGACTCGACAGCAGAGCTGCTGACGCTTTTTTGAAGATCAGCATCACTTCTGCTGCCGCCGGTGTGAGCGCGAGGAAGGATAACTCGAGAATGAATGTGGCTTTCTCCCCCGCGGCTTGATCGTGCGCGATTCGGCAAACCTCAGGACGAAGGCTGGGTCCTTGACCAGTGCCTTGAGCCTCTTGGCGTCGACGAGAACTTGCTCGAGTATGAGTGTCCCCTCGTGCCAGGGTTCTCCACGTCGTGTTTCCAGTCCAGAAAATTGCTCTCGAGGTCTGAGGTCAGCCATCCGTCCGTCTGAGCTTGCTGCCGGGCTTGTCTGTCGGTTTGGAAGAGCTCCACGCGTGTCACCAGCTCTGGCGCCAGGAATTGGGGAAGCGTCGCGTGACTTTCAGTGAGCGCGTCACCATATTCGAGACTCGGTTTTGAGCTTCCTCCAACTGCCCCCGCATGAGCGCATGAGCGGCATCATCTGATAAGGGCCGTCGCTGTGGTGTTTTTGAAGGAAAACGCGACCACATGGTCGGATTGTTCCCGCGACCGAATGCCCGCTTGGGTCACCACGGCCTTTGCTACCTTCATCAATAGATCCCCCGAAGTACCTGTCGACGGACCTTTGTGATGCCTGCTCCTGACGCTGGCCTCTCGTGGGCCACTTGGGCGGTCTCCCCTCCTGAGAGGGCGGGGCTCACTTAGGTGCCCGAAGACCGACTGCTGTTCCAGGTCCACTTGCAGCGCCGTCTCCACGGGTCAGTAAGCAACCGTGCTGAGCTTTTGTGTCTGCTAGGTTTAAGGTAAGTGCTCCGTGCAAGCCACTGTCAGTCAATATACAACCCATGCCACCCACCCGGAAACGAGGTTGTTGTTGCTAGTTTGGTAGAACAAACAAGTTCTGGTGCCCCAATGTGTTGTTCTACCCCCCCCCCCCCTCGCAACCCATGCCGCCCGGAAACGAGGTTGTTTTTGCTAGTCTGGCAGAACAAATTCTGGTGCCCGGTGTGTTGTTCTACCCCCCCCGCCCGGCACAACCTCCGGGAGGCGCGCCATGCGCGCCCCGTATCTTGTCTTCATTACATCTAATGGGGCTCCAGTTTTTGTCTTTACTAGTGACAACAACAACAACAACTACTACTACTACTACTACTACTACACTACTACTACTACTACTACTACTACTACTACTACTACTACTATTACTACTACTACTACTGCAATCACCACGACTACCACCTTGTGCGAGGAATTTACAACATGTATTCTTAGGAAAAGTCTTGGTAATTTTGCAATGTTGGTCAATCTTGCAATCCTGGTCCATCTTGCAACCTTGGTCATCTTGCCTCAGTTTCTCGCCGACTAGTTTACCTTTTTGACCAAGATTGCAAGACTGCCTGCCGCCCCAAGTGGGGCAAGATTGCAAGATTGCTTGGCAATTTGCAAAAAAAGTTGCTCTAAATTCCCGGCACACTGGCTACTACTACACTACTACTACTACTACTACTACTACTACTACTATTACTACTACTACTACTACTCCTCCTCCTCCTACTGCTACCACTACTACTCCTACTGCTGCTACTACTACTACTACTCCTCCTACTGCTGCTACTACTACTACTACTACTACTACTACTCCTACTGCTGCTACTACTACTACTACTACTAGTACTACTCCTACTGCTGCTGCT